TCATGATCATGAACTGCCAAATCTTACTTACATGACGGAATGGGATGAAAATGTTTTGCAGTCATACTTATTTAGATATCAAACCTGTAATCAGTCATTTATTTTCTATCAAACCACAATATAAATATTTAACCTTTAAATACACAAATTAAGTGCAAAAGAAATTGTTTTCATATCCTTCATCTCCTTGTGGAAGAAAGTGGCAACGGACATGTGCTCAAGTGTCTCGTTTCCACCGTAAATTCTATTACACAAGTACTTATATATACACACCATCAACCTGTAGGATTTAGACTACACAACCTTAAACACAGCCCCATGTTATACACCAGCATTACACAACCTTAAACACGGCTCCATGTTATACACTAGCATTACACAACCTTAAACACAGCCCCATGTTATACACCAGCATTACACAACCATAAACACAGCTCCATGTTATACACCAGCATTACACAACCTTAAACACAGCTCCATGTTATACACCAGCATTACACAACCTTAAACACAGCTCCATGTTATACACCAGCATTACACAACCTTAAACACAGCTCCATGTTATACACCAGCATTACACAACCTTAAACACAGCTCCATGTTATACACCAGCATTACACAACCTTAAACACAGCTCCATGTTATACACCAGCATTACACAACCTTAAACACAGCTCCATGTTATACACCAGCATTACACAACCTTAAACACAGCTCCATGTTATACACCAGCATTACACAACCTTAAACACAGCTCCATGTTATACACCAGCATTACACAACCTTAAACACAGCTCCATGTTATACACCAGCATTACACAACCTTAAACACAGCTCCATGTTATACACCAGCATTACACAACCTTAAACACAGCTCCATGTTATACACCAGCATTACACAACCTTAAACACAGCTCCATGTTATACACCAGCATTACACAACCTTAAACACAGCTCCATGTTATACACCAGCATTACACAACCTTAAACACAGCTCCATGTTATACACCAGCATTACACAACCTTAAACACAGCTCCATGTTATACACCAGCATTACACAACCTTAAACACAGCTCCATGTTATACACCAGCATTACACAACCTTAAACACAGCTCCATGTTATACACCAGCATTACACAACCTTAAACACAGCTCCATGTTATACACCAGCATTACACAACCTTAAACACAGCTCCATGTTATACACCAGCATTACACAACCTTAAACACAGCTCCATGTTATACACCAGCATTACACAACCTTAAACACAGCTCCATGTTATACACCAGCATTACACAACCTTAAACACAGCTCCATGTTATACACCAGCATTACACAACCTTAAACACAGCTCCATGTTATACACCAGCATTACACAACCTTAAACACAGCTCCATGTTATACACCAGCATTACACAACCTTAAACACAGCTCCATGTTATACACCAGCATTACACAACCTTAAACACAGCTCCATGTTATACACCAGCATTACACAACCATAAACACAGCTCCATGTTATACACCAGCATTACACAACCTTAAACAGCTCCATGTTATACACCAGCATATTACTGCTTTATTATATTAATTAATCATTACCTACGTATCAGTCTTGGCTTGAAATTCATTTTGTTTGATCAAATACCATATACTACTAGTGCAATTCTTGTAATGGTTATCATATATGTCAAAGTATTTTTTTACCATAATACTTATTTAAAATCAATGAATTCTATTAAGTACAACAAAAGTCACAGAGTCTTTGTATAACTCTAGTCGAACTTTTAGCAATCATAGCAAAATATTCTCATGAAAAGAAGTTCCCTGGACCCACACAAGGATGCCTCATATTTAATCTGGTTGAGATCTCAATCATTTCAATGTAATGACCTGAAACTAAATCCCAAGGGGCAGGGCGTGATCCCAGAGCTAATCCTGGTAGCATTCTTTGTTTTTTTCATGCTAAGCAAGCATATATATTTGATTATAGATTGGAAATATATCAACCATTTTAAAACTATGACCCAAGGACGAAGAAAAGATTTAATCTATGCTGTTCTACAAATCATGACCATGGGCCTTAAAGGAGCAGAATCTTAAAGCTTTTTTTGTATATATATTATTGCCCATATGCATGTTAACCTTTGACCATGGCAGTCTGCGACGTTAGGCACTAGTCCGATGCCCACGACTAGTAAATTTAAGTCTGGACTAGTATTGAAAATATTTTTTACTAGTCCGACTGGACTAGTGGCGATTTTCCTCCAAAATAATGGAAATATTATTAATGGTATATATTTTGCACTATAAAGCTTGTCACAAGTTCTAATCCTTTCGTAAAATACTGCATTCATCGAAGTTTCGATTTGCGATTGCGAGACTGGGTTCTGGATTTTAGTAGTTATGATTACATCCGGTTTATATCCATGTGAAAGCCAACCATGGTGATGTTGCTAAGTTGGAGGAAAGGTTCAAAACCAGCTAACCTGTCAGTGAACAGCCAAAAAACATTGCTCCAACACTAAAGAAAAATGTACGGTTCTGGCTAGTGCTTAAAGGCTCGATGTAAACAACAGTAATACTGTATAAGAGATAATTGGCTAGCCTGATCTGTGATCCGTTTCTTTAGCTTATAATTGAGACATTTTGTTTTGATTTGTAATAATTTTCCAATATAGATCACAATTTAAACTTCACGGTGTAAAAAAGACCTGTCTGTAATTTGGACTAGCAAATTCACAGTTGGACTATTGAAATTATGGGTTCACTAGTCCAAATGACTAGTAAGGAAAATAGTTAACGTCACAGACTACCATGGCCAGTGCTAAATGATGACACAGTTTCTGTCTGGTTGTTTTAGCAGTCACAAGTCTGGATTGCACACTTTACAGGTTTATTTATAGGTTTTCTCTAATTGGCCCTATGTTGGTGGACAGCTGGAAGGAGAAAGTGTTGGACCAGGATTGGTATTTATTACACAGAAACATGGTTCATCATCCCTCCTGCATAACAGAACTTTGAAATACCTATTTAAAAATTTAAGTTGGCAAGGCACTCTGATAGCAGGTTCTGTTAATCATTTACTGGACTGGGGATATTATTGACTCGGATAGCAGGTTTGTTAATCTTTTACTGGACTGGGGATATTATTGACTTGGATAGCAGGTTTTGTTTATCTGTTACTGGACTGGGGATCTTATTGACTTGGAGAGCAGGTTTTGTTAATCTTTTACTGGACTGGGGATATTATTGACTTGGATAGCAGGTTTTGTTAATCTTTTACTGGACTGGAGATATTATTGACTCGGATAGCAGTTTTCGTTAATTATGTTACTGGACTAGGGAGATTATTTCCTGCTGCTATGTTGTGCTGTTTTGTCTTCACGATCTGGAAAATCTAACTGCCTTCTTTTTCAACATAAGTTAATGTATGGTGCTCAGACTAAACTCATAAAGAATTCATATAATATAGCTGATGGTGCAGGTTTTTTTTTTTTATAATGGTAGAGGCCTTTTTGTAGTGGTGTATAATGGTAGAGGCCTTTTTGTAATGGTGTATAATGGTAGAGGCCTTTTTGTAATGGTGTATAATGGTAGAGGCCTTTTTGTAATGGTGTATAATGGTAGAGGCCTTTTTGTAGTGGTGTATAATGGTAGAGGCCTTTTTGTAGTGGTGTATAATGGTAGAGGCCTTTTTGTAGTGGTGTATAATGGTAGAGGCCTTTTTGTAGTGGTGTATAATGGTAGAGGCCTTTTTGTAGTGGTGTATAATGGTAGAGGCCTTTTTGTAGTGGTGTATAATGGTAGAGGCCTTTTTGTAGTGGTGTATAATGGTAGAGGCCTTTTTGTAGTGGTGTATAATGGTAGAGGCCTTTTTGTAGTGGTGTATAATGGTAGAGGCCTTTTTGTAGTGGTGTATAATGGTAGAGGCCTTTTTGTAGTGGTGTATAATGGTAGAGGCCTTTTTGTAGTGGTGTATAATGGTAGAGGCCTTTTTGTAGTGGTGTATAATGGTAGAGGCCTTTTTGTAGTGGTGTATAATGGTAGAGGCCTTTTTGTAGTGGTGTATAATGGTAGAGGCCTTTTTGTAGTGGTGTATAATGGTAGAGGCCTTTTTGTAGTGGTGTATAATGGTAGAGGCCTTTTTGTAGTGGTGTATAATGGTAGAGGCCTTTTTGTAATGGTGTATAATGGTAGAGGCCTTTTTGTAGTGGTGTAACGATACAATGTAGTATTGATAGATTGCGATTGTACACCTCTCAGTTTTAATAATCGATGACTCAATAACAATTGTCGATAGTATGCTAAACAATCGATAGTTTTACAACTACTTACACTTACTGTTTTCATTATCACACCATGTGATTACGACTACTGATAATTCAGTCATTATCATGAACTCGGACAAGGAGTCAAGCATGTTAGTCACTATCAGATACTAGTCTCAGTCGTATGTGCGTTTTAATTGTATAACTGTTACGCTATACTCCATAATCAGTGTTATGAGAACGTTTGATTAACACGCTAGCAGACAGTATGGCGACAAACTTTACCGTTGTTGGCGTCATACCATTAGTCTAAAAACTACTATTGAATAACTTACATATTTAAGACAAAAATGAATTTATACCAACGCACCAACAGAGAATTTACAGAGAGAACTTGGGTAACTGAAGTATCCAATACCATTGGATTACTGCCGTGATAGTATACCACAATAGTTGAACTATCGCAAGAGTGTTTTCCCCAATAGTAATAGTATTGCAATAGTGAAAACTACACGCAAAGTCACCCCTCAAAAAAGGTCTCATTTTTGAAAAAAAAAAACCAATTGGAAAGGAAAATTTCAGCAGTAAACTGCAACTTTTGGTAATGAGCTAGGGCAGAAATAAAAAATAGTTAGTTTGGAATGGGGCCAATTATCAGCCGAAAATGTCCCCAGAAAAGTGGTGTAAACCTGATCTAACAGTGTCCTACTTTATTACTGAACCTACCTTGTAGACCTGTCCGTAGGTGCCATTTCCCACCACTTCTATAAGGTCAAAAATCCCAGCTGGATCCTGAAACAAAGATCCAAAATATGTACTGCATTAAATATATATTTGTTTGAATACATTCATATTCAATATAAATACAGAGAGAACAAAATATTGTAAAAGCTTTGTCATACAATGGTTACTATTTGGGCATCAAACTTTAGATAAAGTACAGGTACACTATGTAGTATCATATATACCTACTACATACGTGTACCTACCCAAATACAATGGACAGTTGACAGGTACACTATGTAGTATCATATATACCTACTACATACGTGTACCTACCCAAATAC